AATACTACACGTATTAACAGCAGCAAGAATTGTATTTGCCCAACCTTGGAAAAATGAAAACTTACCAGCTGAAGAAGTTACTAATTAAGAAAATTCTAGAGTGTGCAAAAATGGACAGATTGACTTTAAAGATAAAAGAGAAAGAAGACTCAGTGTGCTTTAGAATATGGGATAATTTCTATCAATGCCTAGAAAGACAAATTAGAGAGAAAGGAATGTGATATGTAATTTTCAATATATATATATTAGCAAGAAGAAGGCTATTGAGTGATTAACATATTGTTTATGATAATTAACTATTATCTATTATTGTTAGTTAAATACATATACCCAGACATTATGCTGTTTGCTAAATATTGAAAATGTTATTTGGAAAAACCCCAACCCCAACCCTGACCCTAATCCTAACCCTAATCCCGACCCCACCTTATCCCTAACCTTATAAAAACGAATAAAATCTATACAAAAAAAGAGAAAGATGCTAGCGTATTGCTTCTGATTTTCGGCCCTGCGCATTAAGATACTTTTTTTTTTTTTGGAACAACAAAACATGGTGATTTATTGTTTCATTAGTTCATTCTTTTTATATATATATAAATATTTTCTTAATTTTCTATTTTTACAATCAAGTGCTTCGCAGACGTGTTGACCTGGGTCGATTAGTAATTCCGTGGTACATCTAAACTTCTTCAAACTCAATCCAATATTACGCCATCCAATCCATCCTCTCTTCTTCTGGGAGTAAACATTTTTCCACATGAAGCAAATAACAGTTCTTGTTGTTGCTAATAAATATACAGTTGAATATCAGCATTTATTACGGTTTTCTAACGGTATCAAGGATTTCAGTTTAAAATATCTTTTCTAACCTAAACATATCCTAATTGCATTTGCACTCAATATCCATTTATTCAATCAGTATCCTTTTTTCGCTTCTTCCCCCCCCCCCAATTTTTAACATGCCTCTTTTTCCCACTATAAATTAATCTCAGGAAATTCTAATTATATTCCCCTCCCTCCAATGAATCTGATTTTTCTCTTTGGTCCTGTGGGTCTTAGATCTGTAGATATGCCCCTCTACCCTTCTCATGCCACTCAATCCCAAAGGTGCCCACCTAAACCCCCTCTAATTTCACCTCCTAAAAGAGCCTGGGGTCTTTCTGGGCTGATGTCCCCTATCCGGGGGGGGGGTCTCCTTCCTACGAGCCCCTTCTTTCCCATTGCTGCCAGCCCCTCCCTCCCTCCTGTACAGGTAGAATTTCCATTGCAAGGCAAAGAAGTTGTGAAATAAGTCACGCCCCATTTTATGACGACCTTGCCATGGTTGTTAAGCGAATCTGCCATTTGACTAAAATGGTATAGGGTTTCCTACCTGAGAAAGGGGGTTGGACTAGATGACCTCCAAGGTCCCTCCCAACTTTATTTATTTATATTTATATTTATATTTATATTTGTATTTGTATTTATATTTATATTTATATTTATATTTATATTTATATTTATATTTATATTTATATTTATATTTATATTTATATTTATATTTATATTTATATATTTATATTTATATTTATATATTTATATTTATATTTATATATTTATATTTATATTTATATTTATATTTATATTTATATTTATATTACTGCATCTCTACACTCATTAAGTGAAATCCCATGATTGTTAAGCAAATCGGGCTTTCCCCCATTGACTTTGCTTGTCGGAAGCCGGCTGGGAAGGTTACAAATGGCGATCACGTGACCCCGGGACAGTGCAACCGTCGTAAGTACATGCCAGTTGCCAAGCCTTCAAATTTTGATCATGTGACCCCAGGGATTGTGCAATGGGCATAACTGCGAGGACTGCTGGCAAGTCATTTTTTTCCAGTGCTGTTGTTAGAACTAGGGTCTCCTGCTTGAGCAGAGGGTGAGACTATCCATCAGAAATGGTATAGGGTTTCCTGCCTGAGCAGGGGGTTGGACTAGATGACCTCCAAGGTCCCTTCCAACTTTATTATTATTATTATTATTATTATTATTATTATTATTATTATTATTATTATTATTATTATTATTATTATTATTATTATTACTATAGCTGGAAGGGACCATGGAGGTCTTCTAGTCCAGCCCCCTGCTCAAGCAGGAGACCCTACATCATTTCAGACAGGTGGCTGTCCAGCCTCTTCTCAAAATCCTCCACTGATGGAGCACCCACAGGTTCTGGAGGCAAGCAGTTCCACTGGTTCATTGTCCTGTTAGGAAGTTTCTCCTTAATTCCAGGTTGCTTCTCTCCTTGATTAGTTTCCATCCGTCGTTTCTTGTCCTGCTTTCAGGCGCTTTGGGGAATAGCTTGACTCCCTCTTCTTTGTGGCAGCCCCTCAAATACTGGAATACTATCATGTCCCCCCCCCAGTCCTTTTCTCCAGACTAGCCATACCCAATTCCTGCAACTGTTCACCTTTTAGCCTCCAGGCCCGTAATCATCTTAGTTGCTCTTCTCTGCACTCTTCTTTATATCTAGAGTCTCAACATCTTTTTTTTGTATCCTGGTGATCAAAACTGGATGCAATTTTCTCTAGACCCAGTTCCTATATATTTTTCTTCGTGTTTTGGGTTTTTTTTGTCTCCAGGCCTTTAAATCATCTTAATTGTTCTTCTTTGCACTGTTTATCTACAATCTCAACATCTTTTTTTGTATCCTGGTAATCACAACTGGATGCAGTTTTCTCCAGACTGCCCATCCCCAGTTCCTATATATTTTTCTTCATATTATTTTTTTTGGTCTCCAGGCCTTTAATCATCGTCGTTGCTCTTCTCTGCAGGCCTGCTTAGAAGACCTCCTCCACGGCCTGTCCCGACTCGGTTCCTTCTCTAATTCTGCAATCCAGCTTTGCTCCACGGGGTAAACTCTTGCCTCCAGCTTAGCAGCTGCTCAGCAAATTTACTCAGCCTTGCCTTCTCCACCTCTAGGGACTGGCAGGGACCGGTTCCTTCCCACTCAAAGCTGCAGCATTACTCTCAGCTCTTCAGCACCGCCCTAACCCACCCAGTTTCCGCAGAAAAGTCACCCCAACCAGCTGCACCCAGGAGCACTAAAATTGCACACTGCTGCCTTCGGGGTTTCGGCCTCAGTTTCCCGGGGCTGAGAATGGGAAGAAAAGGAATCAAAATAGCTTGGGAGAGGGTTGCAGGGCAGAAAACATGTGACGTTAAAATAATGATAATAAAGTTGGAAGGGACCTTGGAGGTCATCTAGTCCAACCCCCTGCTCAGGCAGGAAACCCTATACCAGTGGTGGCGAACCTATGGCACGGGTGCCAGAGGCGGCACTCCGAGCCCTCTCTGTGGGCACCCGCGCCGTCGCCCCAGTCCTAGGCCTTCAGCTGGGTTTTATAAAACGTTTTCGCTTTAGGCTTCCGCCGCCGTGTACAAAAAAAAAAAAAGGTTCAATCAATCAGTCAATTTCAACTTCTCGCGGAAAAAAAAAGATCTTGAAAAATTGGAATTGATTGATTGAACTTTTTAGTCCCACCCAGTTTGCTGTTACCACCGCAGCCACGCCCACTCAATGGGCCACACCCACCTGGCACCCGATGATGCATAAATGGGTTTTGGGTTCCAGTTTGGGCACTCGGTCTCTAAAAGGTTCGCCATCACTGCCCTATACCATTTCGGACAAATGGCTGTCCAGTCTCTTCTTAAAAACTTCCAGTGTTGGAGCATTCACAATTTCTGGAGGCAGGTTGTTCCACTGGCTAATTGTTATAACTGTCAGGAAGTTTCTCCTTTGTTCTAGGTTGCTTCTCTCCTTGGTTAGTTTCCATTCGTTGCTTCTTGTCCTGCCTTCAGGCGATTTGGAAAATAGCTTGACTCCCTCTTCTTTGGGGCAACCCCTGAGATACTGGAAGGCTGCTATCATGTCCCCCCTCGTCCTTCTCTTCATTAAACTGGACATCCCCAATTCCAGCAACCGTTCCTTATATGTTTTAGCCTCCAGTCCCCTAATCATCTTAAGCCGGAAGCGACTTAGAATTGGGGGACTGGATTTGTCCTACTTAACAAGGAGGTTGGGAGTTGAAGTAAAGGTCCTTGAAGTACAAGTAAGACTTACAACTACAAGGGAGCCCAAAATTTCTGTTGCTAAGCCAGACAGTTGTTAAGTGAGTTTTGCGACCTTTTTTGCCAACGTTGTTAAGCCAATCACCGCAATTGTTAATAATAATAAAGTTGGAAGGAGGTTAGTAGGCCGGTTATGTGAATCTAGTTCCCCCACTGATTTGATCTATCTGGTCACAAAAGGGGATCATGTGAGCCCAGGACACTGCAATCGTCAGTCCTCGATTTACAACAGTTCATTTATTGACCAAAGTTATGACAGCACTGAAAACAATGACTTAAGACTGTTTTTCACACTTAACGACCGTTTTGCAACATCCCCATGTTCACGTGATCAAAATTCAGTCAGCTTGGCGACCAACTCGCATTTACGACGATCGCAGTGTCCCAGGGTTGCGAGATTCCCCCTTTTGCACCCTTCTGACAAGCAGTCAGTGGGGAAGCCAGGTTCACTTAACGACCATGTTACTTACTTAACAGCTGCAGGGATTCAGTTAACGACTGCGGTCGCAAAATGAGAAAAAAAATCACTTAACAAATGTTTCACTTAGCAACGAAAATTTGGGGCTCAGTTGAGGACTACCTGTGTGAGCCCGTTGCCAGTTTTGATTGTATGGCTGTGAGGATGCTGCGACGGTCGTTAAGTGTGAAAAATTGTCCCTTTTTCCAGTACTATTTAACTTCGGTCGCTAAATGTAGTGCTGTAAGTCAAGGACTACCTATTATCTTTGGTGGGTCTGAATTTCCCAACTCTGAAAGGAGTAGAAAACATCTGAAGTTATGGGAGCTGCATCTGTTGAAAAGTGGGCAGCCATTTTTCTAGGAGGAGCCGAGGAGCCTGTTCTGGGCAAGGGGTTGGACTAGATGACCTCGAAGGTGCCTTCCAGGCTAGGATTCGGATTCTCCTGCCAAGTAATCCTTCAGGCACCATCACCAAGAGTTTTATCTCAGCTTTTTACCAGACTGGGTTATCTCCCAAGTGTGTAGAATCCTAGGGCTGGAAGGTACCTCAAAAGGTCATCTAGTCCAACCCCCTGCTCAAGGCAGGAGACCTATCCTCCAGGTCGGCACTTTTTCATTCCCAGCCTGATTGAGACCAAGTTTTGCCTCTTCTTTCTTTCACTCACACATTCACAAAGGTCGCTTTTAAACTGGGTGGACTTTTAACAGGGCTGGCTGGGGAATTCTGGGAGTTGAAGTCCACAAAGCAGGCCGGCTTGAGAAACACTGTAATTGACAGCCATTCCTGGTGTACGATTGGTGGAGTTTCCAAGAGACTGGACAGCCATTTGTCCAATGGTATAAGGTTTTCTGCCTGAGCAGGGGGTTGGACTCAATGACCTCCAAGGTCCCTTCCAACTTTTTTTTTTATTTTTTTTTTATTTTTTTTTATTATTATTATTATTATTGTTGTTGTTGTTGTTGTTGTTGTTGTTGTTGTTTTGTTGTTGTTATAATAATATTATAACTATTATATTATAATTATATATATTATTATATATATTATTATTATCTGGGAGTTGAAATCCACAAATCTTAAAATTGCCAAGTTTGAAGACCCCTGGCTATGACATCAAACCCAAGATTCCCCCTGAGTATAGAGCTGGGGTCTGGGGGTCTCCCCCACCCTCCCAGCCCCAATGAAACACACTCTACAAAAACAGCCTTTTTTCACAGCAATATGCATTTGTTCCCTAACCAACAGCAAAAAAAAAAATATAGAAAAATATTCTCAGAGATAGGAGCATTGTAATATACAATACGGTCGATTCTCAGAAAACTGAGAAATATTCGGGTGAGGTTTTAGTCCTAGCTTTTTTTAAGAAAGCAAAAAAAAAAAGAAGAAAAAAAAGGCACTGTCCCATCAAGATGCCCATTCAGAGTCCAATTCTAGCAGAGTTGATCCCTTTCTGGGATTAAGCACCAGGACGATAAAAGACGAGAAGTCCCATCAACATCTGGATCTGGCAAAACCACTTTCAATCTGCTGTCCGGCCCACATCTGGGGAGATAGGAATGGGGCAGAGAAGAGAGCAGCCCCACATCACTTGAAGCACCCCGTTGTTTTTTTTTGCCCTGCCATTGGAGGGATAGGAAGCATTTCAACAGATCTTCTGGCAGGCTTCAAAGGGATCTTCAGCGGCACAAGATTCCGTCATCCGGGCTAACACAAGCAGGCTGTTTTAAAAACAAAACGAAAAACAACTTGTTGATAAGAGATTAGCAGCAGCGTTTCTACCCTTAGTTTAAGGAAGAGAAGGACATGATAGCAGTGTTCCAGTATCTCAGGGGCTGCCCCAAAGAAGAGGGAGTCAAGCTCTTCTCCAAAGCCAGGACAAGAAGCAACGGATGGAAACTAACCAAGGAGAGAAGCAACCTAGAACTAAGGAGAAACTTCCTGACAGTTAGAACAATTAACCAGTGGAACAACCTGCCTCCAGAAGCGGTGAATGCTCCAACACTGGAGGTTTTTAAGAAGAGACTGGACAGCCATTTGTCTGAAATGGTATAAGGTTTCCTGCCTGAGCAGGGGGTTGGACTAGATGACCTCCAAGGACCCTTCCAACTTTATTATTAATTATTATTATTATCCCAGGGCAAAAAAGTTCAGTGTTTACTGTACGGTTTGCGGTAGTCAAAAGAGGAACAAAAAAAAAGAGACGGCAACAGCAGCTTGCAAACATCACCAGAGTGATGTCAACGGGAGTGTTGTGTTGTGAAACTCGGAAGCCAACACGTCCCTAAAACAGCTGTTTCACCCAGAGACTTCTCTCTTTCTTTGCATTTATTCCCATCTCTTTAAGATTGGAAAAGCCAGGTGGGGGGGGAGAAAAAAAAAGAGAGATAAAACGCAAACCCACCCAGAATCCAACCGCGAACGCCCTTGATTGGCATAATGAAAAGAATCCTTGAGCTCATAAAATAAAATCCCAACTAAGCAAAGCTTGGTATTTTATAAAGGGGGGGGAGGGGAGACACAGCTGTATTTGGATAGTGCTCAACTTACAGCTACAACTGAACCCAACCGTTTGTTAAGGGAGACAGTGAGCGGTGCCTCGTTTTGTGACTTTTCTTGCCAGGGGTTTGTTAAGCCAATCATTGCAGTGAGTCACGTTTTTGTTAAGTGAACCTGACTTGACTTTGCTTGTTGGAAGGACGCAAAAGGGGATCACGTGACCTTGAGACCCAGCAAGGGTCGTTAAGTACGAACCAGTTGCCAAGCATCTGGATTTTGATCACCTGATCACGGGGACGCTACAAAGGTGGTCACTAAAAAACGGTCACGTCACTTTTTTCAGTGCCGGTCACTAAATGAACTTTTGTAAGTAGAGAACAACCGGTACTTTCTACAAAAGGACCATATTCCAGAATATACATACATACATACATATATATATATACACATTTATATATACATTTATAATAGTGGTGATACATATATAAAGAGGAAAAATTAAAAAAAAATCCATCTAAGCAGGTTGCAAAGAAGCAGTTTCGCAAACTTAGATAAATTTTGGAAGTAAACAGCTCAGAACCGATTCAGAAAGGGTGACACAATTCAGATGAGCGAATTACAGGGAAATCATCTCTAATTCTCAAGATCCTAAAGAGGTTTTTTTTTTTTAAGGATCCAGGGAGACGGTAGCGCTTTCTGTGGCTACCCAAAATTTATTCAAAAGCCCAAACTTTCTTTCCAAAGCTTCTGTCTGGTTAGAGAACTTGTTACAACTCTCGGACTTGTAAAGGGCGCCACGAGATCCCGCTGGATTTGCAGCTATATCCAAATTGAGCTAAAATTCCCTTTCTACTGTTCTACACAATCTTCAGCCATGCTGGCAGGTCACTGGCATCCCCTGGGGCCCACAGGGGAGGGGACATCGGTGCCCACCAGAAGGACTGGCAAGGATGGCCCTTGGCACGGGGATGAGAATGCCCCTCCATCCTTCCAAGTAGAATTCCTGTTCGGTGGCCCACGGATTTATTGGGAGAAGGGGCAGGAGACCCCACACCAACAATGGGAGGCGTAACTGGCAAAAAAAAAACCCTACAAGAGACTCTCCGGAGCCTGGCATAGCCCTCAGGCGCTCGAGATGGGGTGCAGACGGACACAAAACCCACGGAGCCGTCGCTGCGCGTTCTGGGCGCGGGTGGGAGATGAGCACGAACCCACGGAGCCCTTGCTACGTGTTCTGGGCGCGGGTGAGAGATGGGCACAAGCCCCACGGAGCCTTTGTTCGGGTTCTGGGCGCGGGTGGGAGACGGGAACAAACTCCACGGAGGGCTTGCTGCGTGCTCTGCGCGCGGGTGGGAGAGGGGCACGAACCCACGGAGCCCTTGCTACGTGTTCTGGGCGCGGGTGGGAGATGGGCACGAACCCACGGAGCCCTTGCTGCGCGCTCTGCGCGCGGGTGGGAGATGGGCACGAACCCACGGAGCCCTTGTTCGGGTTCTGGGCACGGGTGGGAGACGGGAACAAGCCCCACGGAGTCCTCGCTGCGCGCTCTGCGCGCGGGTGGGAGATGGGCATGAACCCACGGAGCCCTCGCTGGGTGCTCTGGGCGCGGGTGGGAGTCGGGAACAAGCCCCACGGAGGGCTCGCTGCGTGTTCTGGGCGCGGGTGGGAGACGGGCACGAACCCACGGAGCCCTGGCTGCGCGCCCTCTTCTCCTGGGGGGATCTGCCCTGGCGGGGAGGGTCTCACCTCGGCTCCGGCCGGCTCGTCCACGCCCCGCGGAGGGGGCGCCCCGGCGGCCAGCGGGTCCTGCAGCTCGTGCTGGAGAGCCCAAATGTAATCGATGACGTGCTGGAGGATCTCCACTTTGGACACGCGGCGGTGGCGAGGCAAGGTGGGCACCAGCGCGGCCAGGCGCGAGTAGCAGCCCTTCATGTCCAGAAGCAGCGAGGCGGCGGCGGCGGCTTGCTCCGGCCCGAGGGGCAAGCCCCGGGAAGGGGGGCTGCCCACGCGGGACAGCGACACGCTCTGCTCCGAGAGGCAGCGCGGCGAAGGCTCGCCCCCCGCGCCCTTGAGAGCGCAGCTGGGGCCGGGGGAGGCGGCGGGCGCAGCGGCGGCGGGGACCACCTTCATGGCCGGGAGACACGAACCGCGGACGCAACCCCGAGGACAAAACACCGGCAGGCAGCCGAGCGCGCATCGAACGCAGCCGCGAGTGGCGCTCCGGCGCCCGAGAGGCGGCTTTTATAGCGATCCGANAATGACAGGAGCCGGGGCGTGGCTGGCCGCTCTCGTGCTTTCATTGATCGGACTCGGGACTCTTTTTTTTTTTTTTTTGCAAACGCGGGTTTCGCCCCCTCTGCTGGTCGTGTGAAGGGGGGGAGGGAAGTGGGGGGAAGGGGAGGGGGGCCAGGTGCAGGTGGAGGGTGCCCCGGGACATGTCGGGAGGGAGGGAAGGTTGAAAGGAGTCGATCGACAGCTTTGACACTTCTTCCTCTCCGCGACCCGCAGAGACGGAAACAAAAGTATGTCTGAACATTCCTTTTCTCGCCTCCTCTTCCGCACCTCGAGCACATTGTGGAGCCCCCCCCACCCCCGACTAATTTAGTGGGGAGGGGGCGCATTCAGGCTTGAGGAATCCAGGCAGGCGATGCTCTGGAGGAATGTGATTTGACAGCCGTTTTTTTTTTCCCAGCTCGCTCCGGAATCTGCTGGTCTGGGAGGGGGGGGGGGCAAGCAGACTACAAAACCCATGACTTCCACCCTGCCAGTTGGGGACTATTGGATCTGTGCCAGGAGGCATCTGGAGGGCTTGATGAAGGACACTACCTGGATGGGGGTTTTCTTTGCACCCCCCCCCCCCTTCCCTGGAGGTTCCTTCAACGCCTGCGGAACGGACGGCGACGACCCAGCGTCTAATCTTGGCCTGACCTAGTCGGGCGCGTTGTGTGAACGGAGCCACCGAATGCGGCAGCCGGAATTGATAACGGCAATTTTCATATCGGTTTCCTGGTTCCGCAACGAGGCCCCATGTGGACGGGGATTGTCGGGCCAGGCTACACACACGCGTGTTGTCTCAAGTTGTCCCTGGCAGGAATCGTGTCGAGGTGGAAGACTGGATTGAGTGACTTAAAGGTCACAATCTCTCGCCTCTTTTCCTCAGTGTGTGTGTGTGTGTGTCATTTATCCTGTGTTTTGTGTGTTATTTGCTGTGTTGGTGTGTCATTTTATATAGTATTATTTACTATTTGTGTGTCATTTCTCTGTGTTTTGTGTGATACTCTGTGTTTTGGGTTGGTGTGTCGTTTACTGTGTGTTGTGTGTGTGTGTGTAAAACCGGCCTGAATTGTCGTAAAACGCTCGAATTGGCTCTCCCGTTTACTTTGAAAGTGAAAATCATCAACCTGGCAAAGAGGCGACAAGGCGTCCCTAAATGACACGAAAATCCACGGGAAAAGCTTCCCAAGCCGCGGATCGCGAGGAGCGTCGCTGCGTGGTCTCCCGTCCGGCTATCCAAACCGCAACCAGGGCCTTTTCGCACCTTCCCAGCCAGAGAAAACCCTTCGCCTCTTGCACCGATTTCCGCCCGTGTTCCATTCGCACGACCATCGGGGTCCCTGACCTAGCACGCTCCGCTTCTCCCCCGCCCGGACCTCGACCTGGAGGGTTGCCATTCATAGCCGTTTCCCACAGCGGGCGCAGCCGCCGCTCCCTCCCCCGCCCGGCTCCCTGCCTTAACAAGCCGCTCAGACCGCCAGACGCCAAGGCCCGTGACGTCACCCATTCATAAAAATCCCGAGCGCTGTCAGCTTGGCGCCTGGCGGCCGGTGCTCATGGAAACCAGAAGGGGGCGTGGCCAGCTGAGCAGCGTCTCCGCCCGCCGCGCTCTTCCACTCACCTGCCGGGCCGCCCCTGGGAGCCGCGGAGCTCAGCGGGGCTGTTTTATCATCCTCCCTCAAGTGATTTTTGCCCCAGTTTACAACCTTTCTGGCCATCGTTGTTAAGTGACTCACAGCACTGGAAGTTTTTTAAGAAGAGACTGGACAGCCATTCGTCTGAAATGGTATAGGGTTTCCCTGCCTGAGCAGGGGGTTGGACTAGATGACCTCCAAGGTCCCTTCCAACATCATCATTATTATTATTATTATTATTATTATTATTATTATTATTATTATTATTATTATTATTATTATTATTACTACTACTACTACTACTAATAATAATAATAATAATAATAATAATAATAATAATAATAATAATAATAATAATAATAATAATCATTGCACAGTCAGCCAAATGTTCAGACTGGATTTGGCACTTTTATCTACCTATCGAGTCCTTCCCAAGGACCTGGGATAGGCAGATGTGGATGTTTGATGGTATTACAGATCTCGTTGCAGGATGGAAGCGGTTCCTAGTAAGGCTGCCTTTTGCAATTGACTAATGGCGAATTTGTCAGTGCCGATGATGGTGTCCAAGTGGTGCTCCAGTTGTTTTGGGATTGCACCCAGGGCGCCTATTACTATTGGTACCACCCTTGCTTGCCTTTGCCACAGTCTTTCTATTTCTATTTGTAGATCTTTGTATTTTGTGATCTTCTCCAGTTCTTTCTTGTCTATTCTGCTGTCTCCAGGCACTGCCACGTCCACCATCCAGACTTTTTTGTCTTTTTTATCGACAATTGTTAAGTCTGGGGTGTTATGTTGCAGGTGCTTGTCTGTTTGAATTCTGAAGTCCCAGAGCAGTTTAACTTTTTCATTTTCTATGACTTTCTCTCTTTTATGATCCCACCAGTTCTTGCTTGCAGGCAAATGATATTTCTTGCAGATCTTCCAATGCACCATTGTTGCTACTTTGTCATGCCGCTGCTTGTAGTCAGTCTGTGCGATCTTCTTGCAGCAGCTGACCAGGTGGTCCCCTGTTTCTTCAGCTTCTTTGCATAGGCGGCACTTACTGTCTGTTGCTCAATTTTGACTTTGTATGCCTTTGTCCTTAAGGCTTGGTCTTGTGCAGCCAGAATTAGTCCCTCGGTCTCTTTCTTCAACTTTCCTGCTCTTAGCCATTGCCAGGTCTTGTTATGATCTGCTTTCCCAGTAGTTGTTGTTGTTGTTGTTGTTGTTATTTAAGTTAGTCACACGGTTGTTAAATAAATCTGGCTTCCCCATTGACTTTGCTAGTCAGAAGATCACAAAAGGGGGGATCACATGAGCCCAGGACCTGGAAACTATCAGTTACAAAGCATCTGAATTTGGGATCACGTGATCACGAGGATGCTGCAATAGTCATAAGTGTAAAAAACAGCCGTGTCACTTTTTCCAAAATTGTCCATAATCCAAAGCAGAAGACATCAGGATGGTCTCCATTTTGCAGAGCAACACCCGCATCCCCCCACTCCTTCATCCGCAGGATAATGGGAACGGTAGTCCAAGCCGAGTTGGAAAAAGGCACCACGCAGTCTGCCAGAACGCAAGACCTCGCTTGGCTCACTGACAGGAGCCATCTAAGTGGCGCGAGGGTTAAAATGCAGGGTTGAAAGCTAATGCTGCTGACTGCCATCGGTTCGATCCTGACTGGCTCAAGGTGGACTCAGCTTTCCATCCTTCCGAGGTCGGTAAAATGAGGACCCAGATTGTTAGGGGACAAGATGCTGACTCTGTAAACCGCTTAGAGAGGGGTGGAAAGAACTGTGAAGAGGTATATAAGTCTTCGTCAGTGGTTCTCAACCTGTGGGTCGGGACCCCATTTGGGGTCGATCGACCATTTCATGGGGGTCGCCAAGCAAGGCTGTCCGCCATTTTTTTTGTCCGCCATTTTTTTTGTCCGCCATTTTTTTCCCCTTTTCCGGTGGGTGCCTTACCTTCCTTGGGCTGGGCCAGCTGGTGGTCGGCCTGCTCCGTCTCTGCCGCTTGCCAGCTACGCCTCAGCCGGCGCAGGGGGCGGAACCACGCATGCGCGGCACTCCCGGGCAGGGAAAATCCTCGACTTACGACCGGTTTAGTCCTCGACTTACGACCGGTTTAGTCCTCGACTTACGACCGGTTTAGTCCTCGACTTACGACCAGTTGGGGTCACGGCATTAAAAAGGTTGAGAACCACTGATCTAGGCTGGAAGAGGCTCTCTCCGCTGATACCCTGAATTTAGATTAAGATCTGGCTTGGCTCACTGGCAGGAGCCATCTAGGCACGAAGAGGCTCTATCTGCTGATACCTCAAATTTAGAGTGAGATCTGGCTTGGCTCACTGGCTGGAGGGAAGCGTGTAGTGGGGTGCCCCAGGGCTCTGTTCTGGGCCCAGGGCTCTTCAACATCTTCATCAACGATCTGGACCAGGGGATAGATGGGGAACTCATCAAATTTGCAGACGACACCAAGCTGGCAGGAATAGCCAACACTCCAGAAGACAGGCTTAAGATACAGAAGGATCTGGACAGACTTGAACACTGGGCACTATCTAACAAAATGAAATTCAATGGTGATAAAAGCAAGGTTCTACATTTAGGCAAGAAAAACCAAATGTACAGGTATAGTATAGGGGGTACCTTGCTCAATAGTAGCAACTGTGAGAGGGATCTCGGAGTCCTAGTAGACAATCACCTAAATAGGAGCCAGCCGTGTGCTGCAGCTGCCAAAAAGGCCAACACAGTGCTGGGCCTGCATTAACAGAGGGATAGAATCAAGATCACGTGAAGTGTTAATACCACTTTACAAGGCCTTGGTAAGGCCACACATGGAATACGGCATCCAGTTTTGGTCACCACGATGTAAAAAAAGGCTGGAAGAGGCTATCGCTGCTGATAACCCAAATTCAGAGTTAAGACCTGGCTTGGCTCACTAACAGGGGTTATCTAGGCAGGGAGGGGGCTCACTCTGCTGACACCGCCAATTTGCTCGTCCTCCCCCCCCCCTAAATTTGGGGACGGCCCTTCCCGCGCCTGCCTCTCCCTCCTCCCCCGCCTGGAAGGAAGGCAGGGGAAGGGGGGCAGCCGTGCAGCTGTGCGGGCTATTGTCGGCTCCGGCCGGCCTGAGACGGGGAGCCCAGACAGAGCGGCACCATCGCTGCCCTGCATTGTTCTCCGCTGCCCCGGGCGGGCGGGGTGGTGGGACCTGCTGCCAAGAGGGCCGGACGCCAGGGAA